AAAAAAAAAAAAAAAAACATTATAAAATTAATACCTTCTCAGTTTCGTATCGAAGCTAAAAAAAGAGTAATACAAAATATTGGCATTATCAAAAGTTATTAAAGGTGTCAGAACATGGTGGGATACCCTATATAAATGCATGTAAATGAAATTACAAGTAAAAATTAATTTTAGCTTTAAGAGATAATTTTTTATTTTTAAATAAACATCAGCGTTTTACAACAGTGATCACTGTCATATTTCACCAAACACCAATCTAAAAAATGTTGCAAACTGTATTTTACTTACTTTTATTTATTTTTTTAATTATTTACACAAAAATATTAAATTTGACTTACCTAATTCTATACATGTAATACCCAAAGACCATACATCTACTTTGCCATCATATTGACCTTCATCCATAGCTAATATAACTTCAGGAGCCATCCAATAAGGTGTACCAACAAAACTGTTGGCTGGACATTTTGTACTTGCAGAACCAAAATCAGCTGTAACAAAATCAACAATAAAATATTTGTATATTTAGTTACAATTTCTGTATATAAATATATAAATACCAAGTTTAACAGTTCCATTTTCTGTAAGAAGAATATTGCCTGCTTTAACATCTCGATGTATACGACCAAGTGAATGAAGATAATTAAGTCCTTTTAATACCCCGTCACAAATAGCAGAAATTTCTTCTTCCATAAGTGGCCTTTTATGTACTTCTATTATATCTGACGCTGAACCTAAACAATACTCCATTACCAACTGAAAAAAATAGAAACACATTTATTAAAATATTAAAAAATAATAACACAATTGAAATAATTCTATAGTTTTAATAATAACTTATTGTAACTATAAGGTATACAGACAAAACTGGAAAACTAAAAGCTTTGCTTCAATTTCTTTTTAAAAATAGAATCACTCAAAATAAAAATGCTATATCTATTTGCTTTGTTATATAAAACAACTTTTAATACAGAGAAAATTAATTTTAACCTCCTCTAAACCCAACTCAACCAAACCTCAGCCCTTTGGACAGTCTTAATGGGTTGATCACAGATTTTTGTAGGAATATTTGGCTACATTGGGCAATATTAGTGATTTACTAATTATACTCTAAATGTTGAGATTAAATATACTGTAGTATATTTTAGTAACTGAAAAAAATTCATATAATTAAAAAAACATATCCTATAACATAATATCTTAATGTTTTATTATATGACTGCAAAATAATAAAATACAAATGTGTACTTAACATTTATACTTAATAGTAATAACTATTATTTGGCTCAACAGGTATGCAAGAAAACTTCTTTATCATTAAAATAAATTTGTATATATCATGTTATTTATGTTTTCTGTTTTTGCAACACAAAATATAAACAAAATGATTTTGTTTATATTTGTATGAGCATTGCAATCATTGTTATGTGCACATAAAAAATGGTGTTCAAATAAAAACTATGGGTATTGAGTAAAATTTTTTTAAATTAAAGATTGTTATGTAATTTTTCTATCTTTTATTATTTAATTATATGGTTTTTATTTTATAATTTATAGGAAATCATAAAAATAAAAAATAATAATTATCAAAATATATCCTACCCATGCAGTATGATCTCGTAAAAAGCATCCTTTGTATTCAATAGTATTTGGATGATTTAAATGTCTTAAAAATCTTATTTCTTTTAATATATCCTGCCATTTTTCCATGCTTTGTTTCCCTAGGTAAGACATTTTTTTTATGGCCACAATTTCTTTTGTAAGTGAACATCTGGCATAATACACAGCACCAAAACTTCCATGACCAATTTCTCGTAAATCTTCAAATATTTTATCTGGATCATCTTTATCAAAAAGTTCAGCTATTTCTGGGTCTTTAAGACTACCTGGTCTAGGAATAGCTGGCATTATGAATATTACTTTGCTAACTTCTTCAAATATGAAAAAATGATAAGATACAAGACTTACATTTTATGTTATCTAAAAATAAGAATAAAATAGTTAGAGCACAACTGTAAAGATAATTACAATAGCCTGAATAATTCAACATTTAAAAATAACACTTAAGCCTTTTATTCAAATAAATTAAATCTATAATAGAACATAGAAGAAAATGTAAATTATGAAAAACAAATGTATAAAATAATTAGACTTTCTCTATCATAAAATATTTAAAAAAATAAATAAATCAAGTAGTCTAAATAGATCATAATGTATATTTTTTTAATTAATAATTCATAATGTTTAATTTATTCTTTAAATAAAATTTACGCCATCAATTTAGATTTTTGAAGGGATAATTTTACTTTCAATTTATTTTAAACTAAAAATATATAAATGAGTGTAATATAATATTACTAGATTTGAGGTATTGAATGTTTTTATTAAATTAATCATTTTCATAATATGTACCACTTATAACCATGCGTTTTGCTTATAATATTTGAAGTCGGAAGGAATTTATTCCACCAACAATAGTAACTATTATGATAGATACAATGGTAAACAGAAAGGGAAATGAGGAAAATATTTACTAACAAATGATTAATCACTACTCAAGATATATGAAATAACATCAAATAATGTTAAGTATAATTATTGATTTATAAGGTATAATTTTAAAAACTTCAACTGCTATAACAGAAGCCATAACTTTTAACCATTTATGTCTTTAGAATATAACATACTTATAATATTTTCAACTACGATCCAATGTTTTATCTTCTTCGTCATTGTTCCGAAATCGATAACACACCGTCACCAGCACACTAGATAACAACACTTGCAGAATTCATTATGGTTAATTAGATTATATTTTTCATAATTCGTCTGAAAAATAGTTTCGTTGGAAAAATGTTTTTTGATCACTATCTATGATAAATGTATAGATATAAGGAAACCAATAAGATAAGATTATGAATGATTAAATAGTTGAATAAAAATTAAAATAACATTAAAAGAGCGAAAAGAGTTATTAAAATTGTTAATAAAAATGGAACAGTGAACACGATCGATCTCAATTCTAAACTTTTTCGTCAATGGGCAAATTTTACAGTATGGCCAACATTATTATATGACAGACACAGACGTGATTATAATCACAAGTAATAACTTCGTTATTTATTCGATGAAAAATTATCTGTTGATAAATAATATAGAAATTCAGAGATATAGTTATCTACAATAAAAGCGTACTGTTTTTATAGTAAGGTATATGGACAAAGGTATATCAAGTCACTGTATCACACCTTGAATATTAAAATTTGATACACACAAGTAATTCACAATTGGCACCATCATGTGAAATAGCTCTATAGTATAAAGCAATTTCTTTAATTGTGCGTCTAGAAGAGTATGTATAGCAATTACCATTCTTTCCTACCATTAGTCCGTTTCGTTTACAATTCACGTTCACTTATGTATTTAAGTCATAAGCAATAATACAGATTACTCAGAATTTAATCTAAGATTAGTTTTTTTTAATAGGAATCGTTAATATTGGTAAAAAAATTCATTAAAATGAGAATTTAGAAAAAAGTTACTCTAAATTTAAATTTTAAATATATTCATTTTCTTTGAAGAATTCGGGCTAAAATCAGGATATTTAATTAAAATATACGTAATATAAAAAGAGATTTATTTAAAACAACTTCTAATAATACGATAATTTAAAGATGAATATGGGACAAATTTTCTAAAACGTTATAGAAATACAGCTGGAGTAGCAATATCAGTAGGATAATAATACAATATATTTATATGTATGGAACCAATTGACCGAAAGTTCAAATTAACTTTGTAGGTGATTCACATACTATTTAAAATACTCGTTTATAATTTTTATGATTTTGGACTATGTTAAAAACGCATTTATTATTCTTTGTCTCAAACTAGAAAAAATAAAAATTTAAAAATAGCTATTTTTTTGCTACTCTCTTAAAAAAATTGTGATAAGTCAATAAGAATTTAAGAATTGGTACTTATTGAGTTAATTTTTTTTTTGAGTTTAATATATTTTAGTTATAAATTAATAATATTTTTAATGTAGTTTTACTTTTAAATAGTAATTGAATTCATGCACAGTTTAAATCTATGATAAATACTTAGATGAGAATGAACTCAACACATGAAGATGACTTAATGAAACTTAAAAAAGTAAAAACCTTTAGCACAACTATAGTTACACCAAACTATTATATTAATTTTATTAATATACCTATATTACTAAATTGGGGATATACGATCACTTAATAAAACTAAACAAATTATACAATGGAGACATACTACCAGAGACCTATTAACCTATCATGCATAACACTAAGCTAATTTAAGTATATAAGCTATACTCAGTATTAACAGACACAAGTTAAGTTGAAAATGTTTAATTTTAATTTTTTTTTAATGCCGCTCTATGGCAAGTTAGGAACAAGATTAAATAAAAACATATCTTAGGTATTTAAAAAAAAATATATATATTTTATATAAAGTTATAGTCAAGGGCGTGGTGTTTAAAGGTGGTAATACTAGTTATTAACAAAATTCTAGTGTTAAGCCGCGCCTCCTGCCATAGGTAAACAGATGGGTGACCATATGTGCGCTTTTACGGTGGTGTAAAAATATCATGTTCACAAAGTACAAGGCAACGGGAAACCACTGCACTTATAAATTTCCAAGGATATACTAATCCAATTGATATTAACCAATCTAACGGTTGTAAAAAAAAAAATTGTCATATTACGTCGAAGAAAAAATAAAAAATTTTCACGATTTCAAAAATTGTAATTTTCTATGAATTTCTCCCATTTACAGGGAACATAGGAAGACTTTTAAAATTTCAGCAGTTTATGATCTTGTAACAGATCGTTTAGCTACATCGGTCCAATAAGAATTTTACATTTGTGTTTACAGACACAAAAAAACTATAGTAAGAAGCTATGAGAAAATAAAAATTCTTTTAATTCATTACTTAGAAATTTTTATTTTTTGTGTAAATTATCCCCAATATAGTAAACTTTAGAAAATTCTTCCAAATTTGTGCATAAATTAACAATTTTTTTGGGGACATATTTAGAACAAAATGATCAAATTGGAACTAAGAATTAGGGACATTAGATAAAAGAAAACAAACACATAAAAACTAGTATTTTTCAGCTTTCTTTATAATACTCTTTGCTTATTCTTTTTTGCCTTGAATCGGATTTAAATAGTGCTACATTTAAAAATTTATTATTAGGGGACTTAGATAACTTTCAAAACACAGAATAAGGAATTTTCTCTTTTTTAGCGTCACTACCATAATTTTTAGATTAATGGGAGTACCTGACAAGGTACTGTGTTTTCCTAAAACGCTTTTTATGTTAATAACCAATACAGAAGTGTATCAGGATCACAAGCATGCTGTGACCTTATTTTAAGGTGTGTCTCTATAAAGCTTTGGATCTAATCTCAAATTTTTTTCCCATGATTTCCATTAAAATTCTGATGACTGGCTGTATCAATCTCATGGACTCTATCAGTGGTGTATTTAGAAATTTTGTATAAGTGGGAATTAAGAGAAATGAGGAGTTCTCTTCTCCACTCTCATTATTTTTTGTCCAAAGGGTGATTAAAACTGTATGAGCTTCCATAGTAAATACATTATTGAACTCCTTAACCTCTGTAAATTTGTTATTAAAAAAATATAACTAATAAATATTTTAATTACCTATTTAAAATATCCTGACAAAACAAATGTGAGTTGATATTAGGATTTATGCATCTTTTATTAAAAAGATGCATAAATTTGGACAGCAAATTTTAAGGGGCATATGTTAGAAGTAATTTACTCATTTTTTTGTAAAAATATTTTTACAATATACTAAAATCTGGATATTAAATTTTTAAAGGTATACAATTTCTATGTCCTCTGAAGAAGCTAAATTTAAAATATAGCTTAGAGTATAAAACCTATTTTAAAAAATTTATATTAAACATTATTTCTTATTGTAAATTTACATTTCACATAAAGTGAAATAACAAAAAAAGCATTTGAAAATTTATTTTTCAGATAAAAAGTTTTAAAAAAAATCTTTTAAGAATTTTAAAAATTCATTAATTTTTTTTTTGTTAATTCATTAGAGTTCATCTTTATTTTCATTAATTATAACACTTTCATCACTTATAAAATCATCCATATTTTTTTTTTCAAATCTTTTTCTCTTTTTTTCTCTTTGTTTTTTTTTTATTTCTTGTTCCACTTCGTCAGGATCTTTCCCATCAGTAATCAATTTTTTTCTTTTATTTATCAATCGTTTTTCATCAAAATCAGTTTCATCTAATTTAATTTGTGCCTCTCTTTTTGTGACATGCACTTGAGTCAAAATCTTAGCTACATTTATTCCTGAAATAATCAAAATAAAAACTTAGTTATTAGTAAATATAAAAAGAGAACATCTAAAAACTTATTTTAGTTTTCAAAAAATTGAATAAATAAATAATAATTTTTTTTTTTTTTTATAAAGAATTTACCTGAAACATCATATTCTTTAAGTTTATAATTAATTTTTTGTTCAATTGTTTGAACAATTTTTACATCATGCTGGGTAACAATTGATACTGCTTGACCTGTTCGGCCTGCTCTTGCTGTACGCCCTACTCTATGAACATAATCTGTCGCATTATTTGGAATTACATGGTTTATTATTAATGAAACTGCTGGGATATCTAATCCTCGACTTGCGACATCAGTAGCAATTAAAATTTTTGAAATATGTGATTTGAATTTGGCTAATGCTGTTAATCTTTGACGTTGACTTATCATTGCATGAAGAGCAACAGTATCAAAACCAACTTCATTTAATGTCATATACAACAACTGACAATTTCTAAAATTAATTTTTAAAAAATAAAATAAAATAATTTATTAATTTAACAAATATAAGTAAAACTATTAAAAAAAATTACTAAATCTTATATATAAGGTTGAATAATTATTTTCATTAATTATTCTAGACAAAATATATATACTTTAGTACTATGTTGATTTTACACAAAAAAAAAGTACTCTTTTTTCATTTTATAAGTCATAAGAACATAATATTATATTCTTTTAATATAAATTACAATTTTAAGATTAAATACTTATTCTAAAACCTTTAAACAAGTATTAAAAATATTAAGTAGATAAAAATATACTACATGTCTATTTTAAAATAGAAACAAATAATGAGAGTACTTTATGAACAAAGTGAATTAAGGGAGAATTTGTAAAAAGTATGAAGCTGCTCAAATTAATAAGTAAAAATGCACTTAGTATTTGAAATAAGAAACATGAAGTAATACTTCAGTTGTAATACTATTACAATGTTTAATTTTTTGCAAATGATATAACACATATACATCAAATTTTAAGCTTACTTGCAAGTATCAGTGAAAATCATTATGAGACCACTTTCATCTTTTTCGCGAAAATTTCTTACAATTTCAACTAAATAGCCATCTTTTACATTATATGGACAAAGCACATAAAATTGTTCAAGTTCATCTACGGTTTTTACTTCATCAGTAGACTCGAACACAAATGTCTGTTATGGAAAAAATTAAATAATATATTAGATAAAACTAGATTGAATATTATTAAGTTCATAAATATATATATTATGGCTAAAGTTGGTAATTGCTTAATGTACACATAAGCTGATTTTTAATTTAGTTATGAAGAAATGTATATATTTTGAAAATTAACAGCCTAATATGGTTAATATATTTATAATTAACAGCAAACAGGTTTTTTCAACAGATAATAGCTAAATTTTTTTTTCTTATCATCTCTTCTTTTAGCTTAATAAGGTACAACTAGATTTTACTTTATTTTTTGTCCTATTACCAATTCATATGGATTACTGTCAAATGATTGTGCTGTTATTATACTCGTTTGGTGTTCTAAGTCCCATTAAGATAATTAAGATTATATAATATGATTATTTATTTATTATAATTTCAAACATTAATCAGTAGGATAATTAAGGGATTAATTTATAAAGACTTTTCAGTAAGTTAGTAAATATTTTCAATATTTTGGTAATCACTTGCTTAATTGATATTGGGTTGATAATTTTTTGATAACTATCATAATAATAATTTATGGCCCATTGAAACAGATTATTGTTGCCTCTAGTATTATAAAAACCAATTTAATGATAAATTTCTATATTAAATCCAAATCTTTAAAATAATTTAAAAAAACAAACATTTTATTATAATATTAAGGTAAAAAAAATAAAAACTTCTCTGAAACATTACCAATTTTAACATTTTCATTTTAACATTTAGTAATAATATTATCAAACATTTATGTTTTATATTCATGCTAATACATCCAATTCATTTATTTATTTAATATAAAATATGGAAATCAGACAATTTTTTTTATAAATTTTCTAATAATGCTAATTTTTTTTTAGTATCCGTTTTTATTTTATAGTGGGGTGGAGGCACAGTGGGGTCGTAGCATAGTTGGGTCCAGTATAGATGATATCTGACAGTGATTAAAATCACTATCATAAAAAACGCTTTGATGCAAATCTGTAGATAGTGTTTAATTAAAAAAAAAAAAATTGCTAAAATAGCATATTTTTGAATATGGTAGCCATCTGCGCATAGAAGATAGGTCGCCAGGACAAATTTTTTTTTTCATTTTATAGTACATAAAAAAAGCTTTAATTTGATATATGTTTGAAGGACGCAGTATTTCCGGAACATTTTCAAAAATTAAGTTGAAAAAGTTATTTTTTGTAAAAAAGTTCCTATTTTAAATCCCCCCCAATGAGCAGGTTAAGTGTTAGATTTTCAAAAAAAATTATATCAAATGAAAGTGAAATATATAAGGTTTCAATACAAAAAAATATTATTTTTATTTGTTCATTTTTGAAAAAGTTATGGCAGTTTTAAGTACAAAAAACATCCCGATAAAATGTAATTTTTATCGCAAACATTACATTTTTTTTAATTTTCGACAGCAATTTGCACATAGAAGATAAGATGTCGGGACAAATTTTTTTTTTTCATTTGATAGTATATAACATAACCTTTGATTTGATATATGTTTAAAGGACGCAGTATTTCCGGAACATTTTCAAAAGTTCAGTTGAAAAAGATCTATGTTTTTTACAATATTTTAAGTTTTGAACGCCCCCTATATAAGGGGAAATTGTCCAATTTTAATAAAAAGTATGTCAAATGAAAGATGTACTTATAATGTATTTTGAAAATAAAAATTTGTGCTGATATATACATTTTTCAAAAAGTTATAGCATTTTTAAGTTGAAAATTTAAAATCGAAAATCGAAAATTTTAACACAAAAATAGTGTTTTTTTAACTACGGCAGCCGTTTAAATGTAGAAAAAAAAGTGTCGGGACAAATTTTTTTTTTTCATTTTGTAGTACATAAAATAAGCTTTAATTTTATATATGTTTAAAGGACGCAGTATTTCCGGAACATTTTCAAAAATTAAGTTGAAAAAGTTATTTTTTGTAAAAAAGTTACTATTTTAAATCCTCCCAGTGAGCAGAATAAGTGTTAGATTTTCAAAAAAAATTATATCAAATGAAAGGGAAATATCTAAGGTTTCAATACAAAAAAATATTATTTTTATTTGTTCATTTTTGAAAAAGTTATGGCAGTTTTAAGTACAAAAAACATCCCGATAAAATGTAATTTTTATCGCAAACATTACATTTTTTTTTAAATTTTCGACAGCCATTTGCACATAGAAGATAAGATGTCGGGACAAATTTTTTTTTTTCATTTGATAGTATATAACATAACCTTTGATTTGATATATGTTTAAAGGACGCAGTATTTCCGGAACATTTTCAAAAGTTCAGTTGAAAAAGATCTATGTTTTTTACAATATTTTAAGTTTTGAACGCCCCCTATATAAGGGGAAATTGTCCAATTTTAATAAAAAGTATGTCAAATGAAAGATGTACTTATAATGTATTTAGAAAAAAAAAATTTGTGCTGATATATACATTTTTCAAAAAGTTATAGCATTTTTAAGTTGAAAATTTAAAATCGAAAATCGAAAATTTTAACACAAAAATAGTGTTTTTTTAACTACGGCAGCCGTTTAAATGTAGAAGAAAAAGTGTTGGGACAAATTTTTTTTTTCATTTTATAGTACATAAAAAAAGCTTTAATTTGATATATGTTTGAAGGACGCAGTATTTCCGGAACATTTTCAAAAATTAAGTTGAAAAAGTTATTTTTTGTAAAAAAGTTCCTATTTTAAATCCCCCCCAATGAGCAGGTTAAGTGATAGATTTTCAAAGAAATGATATCAAATGAAAGGTAGATATCTAAGGTTTTAGTATAAAAAGCAATTATGTTGATTTTTGAAAAAGTTATGGATGTTTTAAGAAAAAAAAATTGAAAAAATTTCGAAAATTAGCGATTTTTAAATTTGTAATTTTTTTGGATATTTCCCCCATTTGCGGGGAACGAGGGAAATTTTTTCAATTTTGAAGGGTAATGTCTTC